GAAAGCATTAGTCTCTAAGCAGACGATTTTCCGGCAATTGTAAAGAAAACGGAGAGCATTGTTAAGGTAGAAGATGATTTAAACACACCCAAGAAGTGTGAGACAGATGTTGATGAGAAGGTCTGGAGAGCAACCGCTAATAAAGAAGACTCCCAGAGGGGGAACTACAGGAATGATTTTTTGAGTTAGTTTTATCCTATCACTGGACGTCAAGTAACAAGGAATAAATGAGTATAGGGGCGGAAAAAAACATTGGTCCTGCAGGGGCCCTGCCCTCTTTCCACCTTTCTCCAATTGTCATCTCTGGAGTAGTTGATTCCCAGTTCAAATGGCTATCATTGTGGGGGAAATACAACACCTAACAGTTCACTTACTGAATATCGTAACAATGATCAGAAAAAGAGCAGAGAGTGCATCTGCTGCCATGGGTGCTTTCTCTTTCCACCTTGAGCTTGGGATTTCTTGTTGTATTAGTTGGGCGATTTTTCAGAACACCACTGTGCATTGAGGGGAGTTGAGTGAAGGGTAAATATGAAAAGGCAATGTCCTCAATCCCCCCGAATGAAAATCGGTGCGATGTATTCTGGCGAGTTCAATGGCGGGTAATGGTCGAGGAAATAGTTAAGAAGAATACCGGAGTATATAGAGATTGGCATCCAATTCAGGGGCGTCATATAGTTTTCGATGGATGCGGGCACAGGGAGGGAGGTGGAGAGATGAATATGTGAGGGCCCGGATTACACTACCAGTACATATATACCACACCAGGAATTCAATTGAAAAGGAGCGAAACCTTGATGAATATAAGAATGTCCTGAAGGGGGGGGGGGGTTGCTGCAGAACGTATCCAGATGTCCTGTATATCGAAACAAAGAGGAGCAGACGTCAATCGCGGGGAGAAAGAATGCGATACAAAACATGGAGGAGGAGCAAAGGGTGTTTCCTAAAAGGGCAATTGATCCCCAGAGTTGAAATAAAGTATCCCATGACGTCACCGTAGATAGTTGGCAGGAACCTTACCGCCACGTGAAATATATACAGCACAATGGATACAAGCCACCAAGCGCAGTCTAGAAATATGAATATAGTTATGCTGGTTGTGGGATTTCTAGAACCGGAAAAGGAGTCAGTCGTAGGCGAGCCCACCACTCAACATAGAGAGTATGTTTATGGCGGAAGGAAGATAGGATCCCTATCTATCCAGTATGAATATATGTGGTATGAAAGTAACGCTCAAAGCCCAAAACACACTTATTTGTGCCCGGAAAACAACCTCGTATCGCGAAGTAATGTTGGGAGAACTAAATGACAATGCTCCCTTAAAATCCATATCATATACCATGGCGTGTTAAGGTAAGAATAGCAGATTGGAGAATAGTGCTGTGCAACATCAAAGACACGCCCTCAAATGGCACCAAAGAATCACAGTGTATGCAGTTGCAGGCTTAGACTTGACTCCCATTAGGTAATATTAGCACCCTCCAAGGTAGATGATAGACTTGAGCGAGCTAACACTGGTGCGTATCGGCGTACAGCTTCTTCTGTAGGAATGTCTGGCCCCAAGGCCCAGTCGAGGGAAGAATCTCTGATTGTGGCAGGACATTGTCGATGTGTGCCTGCCTCCCCACTCCTGTCGCCCTTTTCAGGTGCTGCATCTCCTCTTGCTGTAGGCTTTGGTTTTATTGAGCCTGTGTCATCTCGCGTATCGTCATCGGGTGATCGCTTCCTTTCTTGGTCGTCAGCTTGAGGTCTTGGTGTCGGTATAGAACCAGGAACCATGCTTGGCGAACCTTCCTCCTCGGTGAGGAAGTACAAGTCGCGCAGCTGCTGTAATTCCAGGCGCGTTTGACGGCTTAGAACGTTTAGACGTGCACTTCCAAGGACCAGAAAAGCCGTACGGAAAGTGGCCAAGGGAGCTCCATGCCACTGTCTCGGTCGGGAGAAATACGGCAAAACATCAAATGGGAGTCGATTACAATGGAAATAATGCTTCAGAAAAATTGGGAGGTACAGCCCTCCTACAGAGTCAGCCGAAATTATTCCTTGTTTCACTTGATGAGCCCTGTACATGTCCCTAGTTGGAATTTCTCGTTTCGAGATGACCCCTTGCTCCATATCTGCTCTTCTGCGCTCCCTGTCCTTGAGCTCGAATTGGATGAAGTATTGAAGATCTGTAGGTATAAAGAGGAAGCCTGGGTCGGTAGCCAAGTCAAACTGATCATGGCATAGAGGGCATAGAGGGACCGCATTTCCAGCTGAGGTTAAGGGGAATGTTATTAGACCGAATTCATTCCATAATTGTGCCTTGCGCATAGGAGAATGTTAGCCTCATTCCGATAACTTAAAGAGCAGAAGTAGCATTTCCCACCTGCGAGTCCTCTCCCACACGCCCAGCAATTTTCTCCAGCTAGTCGTTTGACTTCTAACTTGGTGGCGGCAGAAAATGCATCGGATTTGAGGAAATATTCGGATCGTCGAGGTGAAGACGTGTCACTACTCATGAAAGATTGCATACTCGGAGCTTTGGTGATGCTTGACGGCTGCACGAGAGACGACTCGACGCTCTCTAAGGAGTTCAGAGAGGTATAGTCTGAGATACCCACACCTGGTGGCCTAGATTTCTCGTGGCTAAGTGGTTCGGGCGGTTGTAGTAGTAACTGGCTATCTTGTCGCTGATCTGCCATGGATGCTGTCTTGATAGTTATCTTTTATTTCCATGGGGCAGTACGTAAAATGGGTCCTTCTATGCGGGTTAGACATTTCTCGTGTGGCGTCATAGATCCAGAGAAAAAAGCTGAAGTAGATACTAGACAGCACATACTATTGAGAACAGGCCAGCAACTTGCCAGATAATAATTTACTTACAGTTGTATATATAGAGAGAGACTATACAGAGTATATGATGATTTTGAGTTACAGAGTTAAAAATATATAAAAAATAGTTGAAAAGGTGAGAAATCCAAAGATACCTCTACATTCATGAGTAGTTGATGAATGTAGATATTTCAGATTAAAATCCAGTTGGTTGAGCTGTTAGAAATTTTATGGCCAACTCATTGATAAATTACATTAGCTAGAGAATTAAAAATTATTAGTCTATTTATATGAGTTCAGTTATAGCTACACTATGATATTAATTGTTTAATTAGACCTTCTGCTCTTCATCTGCGACTGATTTTTTTCTTCCACGCTATTGCTTACTTCGGTCAGTTGAGAGATTGGACAATCCGCTTATCAGCTAGCACTTGAAGAAATCATTCGGGGAAACTCCTACCTCATCAGAATAAATAAAATGCAGACAAATATGGAGGTATTGAACCACACGAACTAGAGTGGTTCAGTACTATTGCAGCATACCTGATGAACTCCTGAGTAAAGAACTCATGTTCTCAGACCGTTCATTTGTTGAATGTGTAAACTTCCACCCCAACTCATATATTGACTATTGAAGCCTGCTATTGTCATATTGGGATGGCTCGAACTGGTTTGTTGTGTGATCGAGACTTCCCCAAAAACAACCAGGTTGTTGAGTAAAGATTAGCAGTAGGAAAGACGCATCCGCATGAAAGGAAAAGCATTATTGTGAGGGCTAATTCTGGCAATAAAATAGCTCCTAGCTCTCAATTGTGCAATGCAATGCTAAATTAAAAATGTATTGCAAAGTATTCAATGCGCAAAAAAAAGGAGAGCCCAAGGCAGAAAGGTGAAAACAGAGAAGTTAGATCAAGAGAATTGGCTTGCATTTCACACTGCATCTATCGAAGCTCTTGTGGTCACCTGCTCATTTTTATTCCCAAGTTTTGATATCTGTAGGAACGCATCGACGCCATACCCTTCCAGGCTATGCAGCTCCAAACTGCCAGCCCAATATTCTGCATAAACCCTACTCATAGGCAGACCCATCCCAAGCCGCAAATTTGGAGGGCGCGAACTAAGAGATGCCAGTGAACTGTCTCTGTGCGGATGTCCATTTGCAGTGTAGTAGCAGGTATGGGATTCGCCCTGCTCATCCGATTTCGTGCCAGAAACTTTCACTTCTTGCATTGTCGCCGCCATGGTAGGTACTTGCTGCAGGTTGTGAAGGCGGGCTTGAGTATGGGGTCCCTTGCAGAATGACCATAGGTACGGGAAAGCTTCTCTAGATATGCCTCCCCCTTGATCAGAAACCCGAATGATGACATGTTGTGGAGCCTCACAGATCAAAACCTCAATTGGAGGAGGCATTTCGGACTTGCCGCCGAATCTCTCGATAACTGCTTGGAAGCAATTCCGTAGTAATTCCCCGATAATATACTCCAAGTGACTTAGGATATAAGGAAATGTTGCTCCCATGTGACCCTGAACAACCACATCAGGAACCCGACAGTCAGGTCCAAGTGCCTGCTTCAATAGCGTTGTCGCGCGTTTGCCGCAATTTTCAACGACCTCCTTCGCATTGCATCTCAGGAATACCTCTCCCACGAAATCCGAGTTCAGGTCTGTCCGATCCTTTGAATCCGGAAAATGCCAAGGGGAATTGAATGTATCTGTGAGTGCTAGATGTTGTTCTGCGATAACTCGACGAGAAATCCGCTATAGAGAAATATTATCAGCCTGCCGATTTTCTCATCATCACAAAAAGAAAGGCACAACCGAGATGATTTCCCTCCCTAACGTACCGCACGCAACAAAGTATTCATGAATCGGTCCATTTCTTCCGGGTTCAACAGGTTCTGGCACTCCAATACACCCATTGCAAGATTTGGTATTACCGTTAAATGTTCCCTAAGTGTGGATCGTAGAATATCGCAGTATTTGTCATTGTCTTCCAAGGTTCTGATTTCAGGAACACCGCGGAACTTCTCGAAGGCCTTGTAGTAAAGTTCATAAACGAGGGATAGGTGCGGATTGGTGACAACAACGTAAGGAAGCTTCTGCATGTCTCGAAGACGGTGAGCGATTCTAGCAAAATGACCAGGTCAGAACTGAGTTAGATCCTTTTCGGTATTGGTGGCCTCAACCTGCTTTCGAGCGGATATATGACCGAATGGGCACTGACCTGGTGGGAAGCTCTGTTCGCACATAGTTTGCAGAGCTAATCAATCGAGACTCGGTTATTGTGCGACCAAAAAAAGTCAACTGGCGTAAACTGATCGGTCTCACTTCACGTTCAACCCATCTAGAGGGCATTTAGTTAGTTTGCTAACAATAAATCCTCTCCAATCATGTATAAATACTGGGCAAAAGCGGATGCGGACCAGAAGAACAAGGAATTTACTCACTCATCCAGGACAGAGCCTGGTCGCCATGGAGGAGGCCTTTGCTTGTCAAATGAGATAAACCTCGTCTGCACAAAAAAGGTTTTCAGCCGGATGGCTTTCCGCCATTGAACTGATTGCCGTTGAAGCATCCTGGAATGCCATTCACGTCTCTCGCACAGGGAATGGTTTCCAAGAGACGCTCGACATGGGCCTGCTCAAGGAGGTGTATACCACCGTAACTCATTGTCCGCAGTGATTAGAACATCCTAAACTGTTGCTGTAATGCTGGCCAAAAACGATGCGAGAGATATTGAGTAGATGAAAAGGTTGTGGGGTGCGGGCGCGGATGCGGGCGGTTTAATAACCCGAGAGTTGCATGTGTCATTCGTTGGGCGGTGAGAACGGTGTCGAAACTTTAAACAGCTCTCTCCCTGTCAAGCTCCCGCTGAGATTCGAGAACCTCAAGAGGCCCCAAGGCCAACACGATTGGCACAGGTTTCTGGTGCCAGCAGCTTCATCATTGGCCAGACAAGTTACTTATCACCGTGAGCGATAGTTACAAGGCGCTATTTGAACAAGGGATGCCGGATCCTGGGGAACTTCTTTTGTACGCCTTGCGATCCTTTGCCCAATGGGCTTCTTGGGTTTTACGGCAGAGTACTCCGGACAACAACAAATCAAGCGGATTTTTAAACAACCTACCTGGTGACTGCACCACCCGAGAGCCAACTGAGATTGGAAATACTGTGTTTGCTATTGCAACTTTGAACAGATGGCCTTTGTGTATCCTGCAAGGGACGTGAAGAAAAGCAACCACCACGGTCTGGAATTCATGTCTCCAAACAGGATGCCATTTTCCATGAGTGGAACAGCAACTGATACTGTGGGTTCCGATTTACAGTGTCCTAGCCTCTTGGATTTTGGGTGGTTGGGCGCAGCAAGAATGTGGGCACCAAACATCATGAGCAGTGGCTGGATTGCAAAGGCTTTCCCTCTCCTTGAACAAGCAAGCAACTTGATCTGTTATGATCCGCGAATATATTGCATGGTGGTTGGTTACTTTTACTTCCGACCGCAAGACTTCACCTGAGGGAGCCTAGATTTGGGTTCTGAACATTGGGACTCCTTAACTGATACTACCAGACCCTCCCCGACGTTTATCAAAAGGCATTTATCTCCGTTGCCCAGTAAAATCCGCGCTCGTCTGCAAGAATGCCTCAAGTATGCCTGGCCATGGCTGGGGACAACTCCCGGGGTTTTGATGGTACCAATAATGACCCAGCAGCCTCAGTAACCCGGGAAATCTGGACCAGATGGTAGACCAGATGATAAATAGGAGTACCAAGCTTATTCCGATAACTTCAATTCGGTATCTTTGTTCATGAGCTAATAATTCAAATTAGCGCAAGGACGTGCGAAGCACCCGACAATTGTTTATAAACCATAAACTCTATCAAACAGTAGGTACGTAAAAAAGGAAATGCTAAACCAATGTCATCAAGCAAAAACGCAAAGATAATCATCATTTCTCGTCACTTTTGGGTGAGAGTGATTCCTCCCTCACAACACCCATTTTTACAGGTTGAAATCCAGCCTCGTTCATCTCTGCATTTAGCAGGTCGTCCAACACCTTCTGCGCATCCCAGTTTGGGTCATGTATATTTTCCGCGGCTAGATCGATCCACGCCCTCCATGCCTCGGAGTTGGGAGCTGCATGGCTCACCCGCACCCAGTCGGTGGACTGTGAAACATGAATGGCCTTCCATAGTGCTTGCGTGTATGTATTACCTTCCATGCTTCTGATCTCTTCCAAATCATAACGTATAAGATTCCAATGCCAGCCTTTGGGGAACAGTGCGGCGATCTGATAGCAACCGTTCAGGAAAACGTATGAACCGCCGAGTACCGCTTGCATAGTCCAAGTAGAGTTTCCCATCAGGATGACAGCGCTCATAAGCAGGAATGTGCCTACCCCAACTAGGGCGCGGAATATCTGGTCGCCGACGACGTAGCTACATTCTTCTGTACCTGTGTAGAGCTCGCGAGCGACCTCTTCCGTACACCGTATGATGATGAATGCTCCCTGTCTCGTCCGGACAACCAGGTCACCGTCCGGCACAACCGTTTTGCGTTTCCGCACCGTCAAATTTGCGTGCCACATGGAGGATAATCCAATGATACTAGATGTTAACGACACCACCACGATCGCAACAACTGCGACGCCATCCTCGAGGATAACAGCCCATACACACAGGCCAATAGATAGCAAGAATGATGCAACTGATAGGATGGATAGGGGCGAAAAACGCCTGGCATGAATCACACCCTTGGGCGTTCTAAGAACACGATTTCTAAGATTTTTCTCGTCGCGGAGAGTTTCCTCGTAGCCTTCTCGATGTTTGATCCGGATCTCTCTAATGTTGAAGCTAGGAAGATCGATGCTGTAGAGGAGATTTGCAAAATGGTTAAGCTCCACGAGGAGAGTGCCGGAGTGGATGCTCACAATATGTGCAGGAATGGAGGGGAGGCGGGTTGGCCTTTCGTGTCTTAAAAGTGCCTGGGGAGCAGGCAGGATACGAGGTAACAGACAAAGAATTGAAGCCGTTAGCGGTTGGGAATGTGCCGACATGGCGCTTTCGCCAATGACGGCGAGCAAGCTAACAATATCCAGACTCCAGTCATTGCGTTTCCCGGGGAATTTGAGCATCTTGCATTTGCTGAATTCATTCGGCCAACTCTGTACTTTGAGGAGAGTTTGGGCAGAGAGTAGCTACTTTTCGGAGCCTCTAGCACGTCTTGGACTTAGATTGATCTCACCCGTCATATTGTCCTCAGACGGCCTGGCTGGGTTGTAGCCCTCGTAACCCATGTGTAACCCCTGGCGGTGGCTGGTTTAGTGCTCCAACGGGTTGTGAACAAAGGCCAATCGTTGAAAATAAAGGGATGCCAGGGTACGCTAGAAATCTTCACAGCCACACGTTTATGGAGCCCCAGTTTTGGATTTGACTCAAGTTCTGGTTTTTATATGATGCGGGTCAGCCCGTTCTCGAAATGGAGAAGAATCTTCGGATCTCGACTGGAATCAGCCACTTCTTGAAATCCGCCGTGGATTGTTGACAAGTCGGCCGCTGGTGACGGGAATCTGCCATCACGCAAGACAAAGGAAGAATCCCCAAAAAACGCCAGCCGGGAGTTGGACCAAACCGAATAAAAATTATTGTCGGTAAATGGATAGAAAAGCACCGCCTCACTGGGCATTCGATGCTCACCTTTGTTTTCTATATATTTCCCTGATGCGCACAGCTCGCAAAGTTGTGTTGGATGGACAACGAACATCGAAGGGAAAAGCGACGGCGTAGGATTGGAAATCTACAACACATCGAAGATCTCACCCCCAGGGAAATAAATAAAAAAAATGGTCAAGTTCCGATGGGCACAGGCATCATTCCCCAATCGGAAGAAATCCCAGAGCGACAAACAATCCGCTACGGGAAGTTCAACATCCATCGCCCAGTCACTAATAGCCCGGTATAACGAGGCCCGCAACAAGCTGTGGAAGCAAGAGCTCGAACTGGCCTTCGATGCCGGCGCAGTTGACAAAGCACCGAAGATCGAAAATGATGCTGCCTCAGTTGTGCAGGCTATCCGCGACGAGGAACGGAGTAGATACCTCAAAGCCGGCGCCTCAGACCATTTCCTCGCAAATGTGGACCTGATCAACCGCGGTAGTGACTTGATGCGAGTGGCCAGAAAGTTGCCCAAGGGAGCGCATCTGCACTGCCATTTCAACACCGTTCTCCACCCTTCGTTCCTTGTCGCTCAGGCGCGCCATGTCAAATGCATGTTCATTCGGAGCACTCGGTCTCTGAATGTGAATGACAATTTGAATGATGCTGCAATAACATTTTCTGTGCTGCAAGATTCGACCGAGGGAGCAGACATTTTCGACCCAAATTACGAACCTCTAGCTTGGATGAGATATTCCAAGTTTCTCGAGGATTTTCCTGGCGGCAAGGAACAGGCGGAGGAATGGTTGGTGAAGAAACTGCTTATTTCGCTGGAGGATGCGCACGCGATTGACCAAAACTTAGAGGGGTATGATAACAACTTTATTTTACCCCTTTATTCGATCAGTTAATATCGTCTTACTAATAAATACCTAGGGTTTGGGATCTATTTAACCGCCGCACACAGATGATGAAGGGATTGTTTAATTATGAATCTGCTTTCCGAAACTACATCGGCAAAGCTATTCACAGCTTCGTCGAAGACAACATTATGTACGCCGAAGTCCGACCAAACTTCTTCGACAAATATATCGTCAGCGATGACGGTGAGAGGCAATTAGATCACCGCTCCTGGATGCAGATCATCCGGGACGAAGTCAATGCCACAATCAAGCAACTCGATGCCGATGGAAACGGTGCTAGCCGCTTCAAAGGACTAAAAATAATCTACTGTGCTCCCCGCTCTATCCAAAGCGAAGAAATGACCTGGTGTCTCGACGATTGCATCTCCTTAAAACAAGAATTTCCAGAATTGATCTGCGGTTCGTGATATCCACCCGTCTAACCCTAATAAATAAAGGGCCTCTCGTTATTCATTTTGCAGTGAACCTAACTAAAACATCATCATCACTTTTGCAGGATTCGATATGGTCGGCTGCGAAGGCCGCGGCAACCAAATCCGCGACTACCTCCCCTTACTCCTGCAATTTAGAGCCACCTGCACCAACCTCGGTTTGGATATCCCGTTTATCTTCCACGCAGGAGAAACCCTAGAGAGTCAGGGTCCAACAGACAACAACCTTTATGATGCCATTCTTCTTGACTCCAAGCGCATCGGCCACGGTTTCGCGATCCCCCAGCACCCACTACTGATGCAAATGTGCCGAGAGCGCGGAATTGCGCTGGAGATCTGCCCTATCTCCAATGAGATCCTGCATCTGTGCCCATCCATGAAGAATCATGTGTTACCAATCCTTCTAGCAAATGCGGTACCCTGCACGATTAATAGTGATAATCCAGCGTATTTCAGGTAAGTTCTTGAGATGTTTATATTCCATTTGTTCATCTATTTTTCCCTGGTAGTTTCACCTCCAATGGTTGTGCGTGTGGATGGCGTGGTGGCTAACACAAATATTCCCTTCGTAATTGATAAGCTCTTCACTTTCTCACGATTTTTATCAAACCATCCTCCACATCGACTCCATCACGCTCCATGGTTGTCGCATTCTGGCCGAATGGAGCATTGAACATTCGTGCATGGATCCAAAGCAGCAGGCTGATGCGTTTAATACTTGGGAAGCCGATTGGACAGCGTTCTGCCAGTGGATTGTCCTGGAATTTGGGCCCAAGTATTTGAAGTCTCCGATTGCGGAGAAAGCAAATAACCGAAATTAACGACTTTTTTCCAGGTGATATGTTGGGCCCAGTAGTTGGTTGGGCAACTGGAAATATGAAAGGGATTGATTATTCTCGATACACATACCATGGTTTGCATACTAGCGGACTTGGAGTTTGAGCTTAGGAGTTTGACCCTCTCTTCGTTTTGGTTTGCTGTGTTGTGTTTTTGTTTTTATTACTTATTACTTATTATTTATTATTTGTCATTGTTAATTTCTAACCATACATCCTTTACGAAGCCGTTAGACTACGCTTCATTTGTTTCAATCGAATATAAGAATGTCAATGTCCAAAACTCTACCTAGTTTGCATGTTGGGTGAACAGAATATTGTGCATGGTAGGATAGATGGTCTTGGTGTAGCTCAACTTGAATAATGTGGTTTGCAGCCCCGCGGAAGCAGTCCAGTCGGCCTTCCTGCCTCCACATAAACTCTCGTATGATCCACGTCTGTCTGAAGTACGGCCGAGTGAATACATCGAATAATGGAGTTCCACAAGCGCTTTAGACGAATTTGATAGCTGGTTCCCGACACTCTGTCAATCCAGGCATGGTCTCAAATGATGTAGCTGTATATTTCTTCTCTTCTCGGATTAAAATTAGCACCTGTTGGCATTTCGATAGATGTCCCACATCACATACCTGATGTGAGCGCACTTGGCGACTGTCCTGATCAATGCATAGAGCATGTACCCATATTAATCTCTGAGGTTTGTATATCGCTGAAATTTCAAGTCCGCTCTCAAATTGGCAGAGAAATGAAATACCTGGGGCCCATTTTACCGGCATTAAGCCGGAATTCCTGGTCCAGTCTTAGCATGGAACTTTCGGAAGCAAGGGCGTTTTGCAAATATGATGTAGCTGTAGCTGTAGGTTGTCGTTGCATACCAGTCTTATCTAGTCGCTCAGCAACAATGTAGTATGGTTATAAAGTCGATGTATTGACGGAAACATCCACAACGCATATTGATTCCAGCTTGACATGGGAAAGGACGACACAACATGGAGTTCCGGCGGACTTCTGCAGCTCCCATCACGAGTTTCAGCGTGACTCAGAAGGAGATAGTGTAAAGAATCAGGTTAAGATATCCCGTGTCTCTTGTTGCAGAAGATGTGCCACTATCAATACTTGGGGGACGGATTTTGCAAACGCCGGAGCCCAAGAGGATTGATGGGCAAGGAAGGTTATGGTCAGCCAAGTTTGATTCTTCGTTGCTAACTACATAGTAGTTCCGATTCAGCTGCTTTTCTCCTGGTATCAATTGGGATATGCGGGAAATCTCCTTATGTAGACAAAGCACAAAATACCCCTTACAAAGTTCCTCCGTGAATCATCTACACAAAGGAAAACCTCGAGAATGGCTCTGGTGGTCATATGTGAAAGCAAACTTTCGTCATCTCGGCCCTAAATATTGATGGATTCTGACTGGGAATTCTTGAAAATAAATGGGGAGTAAGGCCTCAAACGGATCTCGTCTCAAGGTGGTGAGATCCATCTTTGCAATATTTATGTAGCATGTTTATCTTGCTTGCAATCTTCGATCCTGAACCCTCTTCCTTTTCACTATTCTTTTGTTCTGGATTTTACTCTCTTTTCAATACTGATTTTGGCCCTCTTCATCAATCTCCAAGACGGCCTACCAATTGTGGAATGACAGAAGGTCTGAGGCTTCTTCTGCCAGGCGGATGTCGTTATATGTGCAAATTCAGGTAAATGCTGTGAAGACTTGCAGGATATCATGCTGTTTCACGTCTTTGTCAGATCTGGGAAACCTCGCTACGATGGATGAGGATAGATGACGCAGGTTAAATCCATGCTTTGCTAAATGGATGCCATGGCCCGATCATTTGGTTTTCAGTGCAAAGCAGTCACTCTAACTCCTCCATCAAGGTTTCTATTGGTGATATGTGTGTTGCAAGCGTTGAATCAAAGCAACTTAAATGAATTAGACCTCATCGTGGCTGTAACTAATCTCAGTTGGCTTTGACATAGTTATGGTAAATGTTGCACCGAAGTTGGATACACCCAGACAAAGTATGTGGTGAAAAACTGACCGAACCAAGATATATTCTGTTTTCGAATAAGAGATAACTATGTGCTAAGTTAAATAGAAGCTTGACGCTTGACACTTGAGCTAAACAAGGCGACGGTTAATGGACAGTAACTATTTAGAGGACAAATATCCTTCGCGGATGCTCACCGGTCCACCGTTGTAGCACTCAATTAACCAGCACATACACAGTTAATATTGGCGGTAGAGCCGCTTCGCTGGTATGTATATCTTGAAAAATATCGAGAACATCGAGAATATATCTTATCATGCCCCTGGATATCAGTGATTGAATGTTTTTGGCAGAACCGTAGTGGGTCCACCCGCAACGACCTTGTTTCCAGGTAGAAAAATAGCACAAAGCTGATGAAGTCGAATAAATAAGCTATGCAGAGAAATACTGGTAGTTACCGTTCACAGGTATGAAGAGGATAACTAGATCACAATAGACTTCTCAGGACCGAAAGTCCCGCCACTCAGCCCTGTGACGCGCTCAAACGATGAGTTAAATAAAAGAGTGAGCTAGAGAACAAAAAAAGTCATTACGCCAACTACACCAAACTAACTCTCCATACTCGAACTCGTTGCACCATCGATATTTGCTGACAACACAAGTGCCTACCCGTCTGTTTCTTTGATTCTGTGTCTTGAATTTTGGGGACTACGAGGAAGAGAGCTGCTTCCCGCCATTGCCCCAGCCATATACTGCTAGCAAATGGACAATGTGAGTGTAGTCAAACGAATCCTTCGCTGAAAACTACACACATGTGGTGCCCCAACTTTCCCCTTCACCGGCCAACCGTAGCCACTATGGCTGACCGCGATGGGAATGCAGCTGACATGCCCTCTTTAATGGGTAATCTGCAGCTTACGGATAATGATATGGTTGTCGATGACTACGACCAGTACGGCAATGACCGTTCTGATGTCGTCGTCGTCTCTCCACCTGGCTCCTCCAGTGAGCCCGAACCGGAGCCTCTGGCTACCGACTGTATGTCCTTGACCCCATTCCACCGCCTCTTTCTTTACTTGTCTGTTTCTGCCCTGGCAATACGAGTTATCGGTATCCCCGTTTCTGTATTATGGTTCCTTATCGATTGCGATGCCCCGCCTGACATTGCTCTCACCTCTGGTCCACCGCCGCCCATTATCCACCGTCCCCCGCCGGCCGCCGGCTACGCCCTATCCACCATAATAGAATATATGATGTGGTGTGGTGTTCTTTGGGTTGGTCTACGTTCTAACAATTCATTCTGTTTGCAGTTGAGGCGATGATGGCAAAAGTGCTTCCCGAGAATCCGGATTTGGAAACAGAAGCGCAGACGTATCATACATGGAACATCGAGAACTGGACAAAATTGCGGCGGAAGGAGCACGGTCCGGTTTTTGAATGTGGAGGAGCTCCATGGTGGGTTTTCCTGATACTTCCAGGTCCCAGCCCGTTATGCGATCGTTCGCAAAGTGAAAGCTTGCCTTCTAATCCCGAAAATTTATAGGCGCGTCCTGTTTTTCCCATTCGGGAACGGTGTCGAACATGCGTCTTTCTACCTCGAACACGGCTTCGAGAAGTCACCCCCGGATGGTTGGTATGCTTGTGTACAATTTGCTTTGGTTCTCTGGAATAAAAATGACCCTTCGCTATATATCACCCATGGTATGCAGCCCTTTTTCTATCACCGAAATAGGATATATAGTACTTACTGGATCCTGGCTGACTTCCCGGCTCTATAGTCGCACACCACCGCTTTAATGCGGATGAGGCCGACTGGGGTTTTACACGGTTTTGCGAACTGCGGAAATTATTCCAGCAATCCATCAATGATAAAGGTACTCCTTTGGTAGAGAATGAAGCCGCCAACGTTACCGCATATGTCCGCGTTGTGAAGGATCCAACAGGAGTTTTATGGCATAGTTTCCAAAAGTCTGTATATCATGTCATACTACTTCGATCTTACTAAGCTAATAGACCGCCGTAGTTACGATTCGAAGAAAGAAACTGGAATGGTAGGGCTCAGAAACCAGGGTGCCACCTGCTATCTAAATTCATTACTACAGTCTCTATTTTTTACAAACTCGTTCCGAAAGGTGAGGCTGCTCCATCTCCTTCCGTGCTCACAGCAGCTGCTGAATACGAAGTGGTAGGCCGTATATCAAATACCCACAGAACACGACGCCAATAGGTCAAATTCCGCGTGGACCCTTCAGCGACTATTTTACCATCTGCAAACTAGCGATCTTCCAGTGTCGACAGCTGAACTCACCTCCTCCTTTGGCTGGGAATCGAGGCATACTTTTGAACAACAGGATGTCCAAGAACTTTCTAGGTTATTAATGGATAAACTCGAAGGACAGATGAAAGGCACTCCTGCCGAAAAAGCGCTTCCCTCTCTTTTCGTTGGAAAGACAAAGACATATATATCCTGCATTCACGTTGACTACGAGTCGTCCAGGATAGAAGACTTTTGGGATATCCAACTGAACGTTCGAGGGAATCGGACGCTGGATGACAGCTTCAAAGATTACATCCAGGTGGAAACCTTAGAGGGAGAGAACAAGTATGATGCTGGGGAACCATACAAACTACAGGATGCGAAAAAGGGCGTGATATTTGAGAGTTTCCCTCCCGTTCTTCACCTTCATCTCAAACGATTCGAATATGACATCAACCGAGATGCTATGATGAAAATCAACGACAGACTCGAGTTTCCAGAAGAGTTTGACGCGGCACCGTATCTTTCCGAGGATGCAGATAAATCAGAACCTTGGATCTATCAATTACACGGCGTTCTTGTGCATAGCGGTGACTTCAATGCTGGGCACTATTATGCATATCTGCGACCAACTAAGGACAGTTTATTTTATAGATTTGACGACGACAAGGTTATTCGCGCAACCATGAAGGAAACTCTCGAGGAAAATTTTGGTGGGGAATATCCCAACCTCGCAAACGGAACAGCTGGGGTTAGACAACCATACATGCGAGGCTTCTCCACGAAACGATCAATGAACGCATACATGCTGGTTTATATCAGGAAATCTCGCGTGGATGATGTACTTGTTAGTTTGAAGAAAGATGACATTCCTGCACATCTCGGTACGTCATTCCATTGTGTATTGCGTTTAATAAATACCTAGGCGCTGACTGCTAACCCATCTGAATCATAATAGAAAAGCGTCTCAATGAGGAACGTGCTGAGTTAGCGCGGAAGAAAAAGGAGCGGGAGGAACAACATCTTTATATGAACGTTGGATTGTTAACCGATGAGTCATTCAAGTCTCATCACGGATTTGATTTGACCAGCTTAGATTTGGAACCTGACGATCCCGCAGCTGCGAAAATACACCGCGTCCTTAGGGCTAAGAAAGTTGGCGAGTTTGCGGCCGAGATCGCGGAAGAAAAGGGATTGACACCAGATCAAGTGAGGCTATGGGTAATGGTGAATCGTCAAAATAAAACAACACGTCCTGATCAGCCCCTGAAAGATCTCGAAATGTCTGTTGAGGAGGCGTTCACTCGGTTTGGTACCAAGGGAAATCAGTTCCGGCTATTTGTCGAGGTAGGAGAAATAGGTACGGATGGGAAAGTAACCTGGCCAGAAACCTCAGGCAATAACGCGACGAGCCTCGTTTTCCTGAAACACTTTGATGTTCTCCAGCAAACGCTCACTGGAGTAGGTCATGCTTTCGTTCGAAAGCACTCTAAAGTATCAGAACTGGCCGGGCCAATACTGGAGATTATGAATTGGCCTGCAGGAACCCCATTCATATTATATGAGGTATGTATTTATTTTCCCCAGCACATTCTACGGCTCACCACTTACCACAGCAACTAGGAAATCAAACACTCCATGATTGAGCCAATGAAATCTAAACAGACGTTCCAACAGTCGGAAATACAAGATGGGGATATCATCTGCTTCCAACGCCAAGTCAACGATTCTGAGTATGAAAATACCTTAAATGTCCATTTCTCCTGTTTTTCTCGGTATTAACAACTAATCCTGCTTGTAGACTCCCTCCTACTGTCCTATACACAGATGCGAGGCAATACTACGATTACCTCCTCAACCGTATCTCAGTCAAATTTGCTCCCCTAAAGCCAAATGATAGCGAAACTTTCGATCTGACACTCAGCCGCAAGATGACATACGAGCAATGGACAACGAAAGTTGGGGAACATTTGAATGTCGATCCGACTCATATACGATTTGCACCTGTACTCCAGAATAGTGGAAAACCTAAGCCGTTCATCAAACGGAATGCGACCCAAAATCTCCAGCAGATTCTCACCAGCCAGTATTCCGCTTACGGGTATGCTGCGCATCGACCAGACGCCCTTTATTACGAAATTTTGGAAACCAGTTTAAGCGAATATGAAACGAAGAAGATAATAAAGGTCATTTGGCTTCCGGATGGCATTTCCAAAGAGGTTCGCTTACCCCACTCTAGTTGATAATGTTCTGGCCGTCTAACAGGATCTACTGCTACAGCAACCATTTGACGTTCTTGTCTCTAAGAGCGGCAATATTGGTGATCTACTATTAAGCTTCCGGAAGAGGGCTAACCTCGATGAAGAGACGTCCAAAAATCTGCGTTGTTATGAGGTCTATGGCGGAAAAGTTTACAAAGAGATCCCCGAAAACTATAGCATTCTCAGCCTCTCGGACTATGTTACTCTCTATATCGAGCGGATACCACAGGAGGAACTTGACATGCAAGAAGGTGAATTCAAAATTGATTGCTTCAATTTTGATAAGGAGCCCAATAAGCCACATGGAGTCCCTTTTAGATTTGTTGTGAAACCGGTTCGTATATATATTGTTTTTCAATGTCTAACTACCACTACTACTACTCCATAACCCCTAACCCCCTGTCTCACAGAGGGAATGTGCATTGCTAATTCATATTCTAAACTATAGGGCGAGATCTTCAAGGAGACCAAGGAACGGCTCTCGAAACGGACAGGAATTCGAGGCAAGCAGTTTGAGAAAATCAAATTTGCCATGGCTTTACGTCAAGGGTTCTGTACCCCAAGATACATTGAAGATGGTACGTACTTTCCTTTGGAAATTCGTTTCCTCATATTTCCCCAATAGGTTTTGAACTACCCAGGTCTAGGGTGTTCTCATTCTGTGGTCACTGACTTTGTTTTCACGGTTATTTTCCAGACGACGTTCTCGCCGATTTAGCGACCGAGCCACAAGATGTGCTCGGACTGGATCATGTAAATAAGAACAGAAGCTTCTGGAGAAGCGAAAGTTTCTTTATTCGATAGATGCATAATTGAATAGGCCAGGCGTTTTAATGTTCTTTCATTTCCTTTCATTTCCTTCTCTTTCTTACGGTCTATGGCGGTTTAACTTGATCATCAATGGTACTCGTTTTATTTTTAGTTTTATCTTTATCCCTATCTCTATACTTCTTTATCTTGTCTTTCCTTCCATATCTCGACATTGTTTTTCCTTTTCTGCTTCGTTGCGATACGGACTACCAATTTTTGTTACTTTTCTTTTTTCTTCCTTTTCTCTTTTCTCTTTCAAACCAAAAACAGAGAAGCTGCTGGATTGCATTTTGCCAGCATCCTAATTTAAACAAGGGTTTACCTTCTTACCTCCCACACGGAGTTAAAAATACATGTACAGATATTTAGGAAGTTGGCAATGGAGGATAGGGGAGCAATGGGTTATATATCGATTTTCACCGCTTCTAGTTCGTTCTACTTGTTTTATCTTCCTTTTTCATCAAATTTCTTTCTGCTCATGCCTGGATAAGAAAAGCTATGTTTAAGGTACAGTGCCAGACCATAAATATTGGCAACCCCGACCACAGTCATGGTGTGGCAGAAACGTACTGGGGGTCGCCCATATATGGCCTCAACGGGCACTGTACGGAGTAGTTAGCTATCAAGGAAAGCATTTGCCACTAGGATCTTTCATCACAAAGCTTGGCGTTACCTAGTTGGTTAGCGATGCAACAATGCAAACACGGCCCTGTTCCGGCCAAATA